CTAACGCGCAACAGCTCCCGCCCCCCTTCCCCGGGGAAAAAAAAAAAAAAAAAAAAAGAAAAGAAAGAGTTTAGTCACATCCACATACACCACATTTTAAAATAAGGACGTTTTGCTGCAGCCTGGCAGGAGCAGGTCACGGCCCACAGCCGGGGTGCTCCAGCCCTGGCCCCCAGGACGCCGCTGCCTTTCCCTGGCGCAGCGGGTTGGGACACAGGGACGAGGGCCGGGGCCGTCACCAGCTCCTCGCCAGGCTGCAAGGGCACAGCTAAACTCTAGCACCAGCGCTGCGGGGTCTGGCAACCTCACTGAACCAAGCTTGAAGGAATTCCAAGGCAATTTAGCTTAAATATAAAAATAAATTTTTATTTTGTTAAAAAATGTTTAAATATTTTTTTCTTTTTTTTTTTCTTTTTAATTTAGACTTCGGCAGACACACACACTCACACGGCTCGGAGAGTAAAAAGAAAAACCGGCAGCAAAGGGCTCCTGGGAGCGGAGGGGAGGGGAGGCCCGGGGCTCCCGGGGAAGCTGGCCCAGCAGCCTCTTTCCCCAGGAGTTCCCTGTCGGATCCAGGAACAGCCCCACTCCTGGCTGGATGGGAACAGGGGCTTTGGGCACAGCACCGTAGCTCTTAGGAGCTGGTAAAAAAACAAAGGGATGGGGATGAGCTAGAAGTGAAAAACCAAAGGGGATATCAGGGGAAAGCCGTCCTCTCCGGCCTCCTTCCAGCAGCAGCTCACGAGGACTGCGAGGTCCTGGCCCAGCCGAGGCCGGGGAGGAGGACGAGGAGAGGAGAGGCTGCCAGGGCGGGTGCCCGGGCCCGTCCCCTCCACCCCGGCTGCCCTTCTGTCGGTCACGACGAGGGGACAGACTCACCCAGCCGTAGTAGCCACGCAGTGATGCTACTGTCAACACCCAATTAGCCGGGGCGCCGCCACCTCGTGAAGAGGGAACGGGCGCCCCATAAAAATCAACTCCAAACAGCAAATCCGGCATAACCAACATGCCGCCACGCACACGGGTCAATTCTTCCTCCAAACTCGATTCAATGAGTGCATCAAACGGGAGCACAAACAAAGCAGAACAGACAAGCCTTTACACAGAACAGGTCGGGGTCAGCCCCGGGAGGGCACGGCGGGAGGACGACTTGCCGTCCCCGCAGCGCTCCTCCCGCTGGGCCCTGATGCTCCGGCACAGCCGTCCGCGCGCGAGGCCTCAGCGGGAGGGTTGATGGGAGGCCTAAGCTGGGGACAAGGGGGTCTTCACCCAGCCACGGAAGCTGGATCAGTCACCTATGGCACCGAAACGCTTATGCCCACCCTCGTGGGGGCCCCGCTGCCCCAAGATGGCAACAGGCAGCTTGGAGCAGAATCCTGCAGAGGAAGAGCATTCACCAGGCCAGAGCACACAGCAGGGAAAGGCTTCAGGACCTGGTGAAGGCCCCGCCGCTCGGCAGCGCCGGGAGAGCGGATCTCCAGGGCTGACCCGGCACCCCGTGGCTCTGCCTGCCGTGGGGCAGCAGGCTCAGTGTCGGGGGCTGTGGGGAGGGCACAGGCACAGCTAGAAGAAGCAAGGGGGAAAATTTACATATTATGAAACGTGGCAAAAGAAAAAGAGGGAGGAAACGCTGTAGATATGTACAGAGGTTCATCCAGCCTTGGCTGTGGAACTGTTCAAGTACGAAGGGTTTGGTTTATCCTGTCCCACCCCAGTCACTGCTACCCAGCACAGTCTCCTGCTGGCAAAGGAGAGGGGGGCCTGGCCCTGGCGGCGCCGCTCCCGCACGGGGACGCTCCGGAGGGAGCCCCGCACAGCGGCTCCTGGCAGCCGCCGGGCCCAGCCGCCCGCCACGTTACTTTTTGCGCTTGCCTCCTCCCCTGCAGCCGCTGGCGAGCCCCGGTCTTGGATCCTGCCCCGATGGAAAACGCCGGAGTCGAGGAACCTGCAAGCAGAAAGGCTGCCAAAGCTCCCCCAGCCTCCCGCAGAGCTCTGGCTTTCCCTCCCCAGAGCCCAGGAGCCACCACCAAAGTGGCAGGGGACAACCCTGGTGTCCAGGACATGGCCCCTCGCAGGCCCTGCTGCCATCCCTCCACCCAACGGAGCAGCACGGCTGGGAGAGGATCCCTTACCAAAGGAAGTTCCGACTCCGCCAAAGCCTGAGGCAGGAGTGCTGGGTGTCCCGAAGGAAAGGCTGCTGCTCCCGCTCCCCACTGCTCCCGGGACAGGCGTGCTTTGCCCGAAGGTGGGAGCCGGCGTTCCTGGAAAACAAAATGCCACTGAGAGCAAAGACAACAGGAGAGTCTGGATTTGGGGCGCAAGTTCTTCCTGCGACCAGCGGGATCCCTCACTATGAACTGGAGGAATACATCCCCCCAGGAGCAGCCTGTTCACCTCCGAGGGCTCCTTCTAATTCAACAAGTTGGCCTCTCTTCTACTTCCTCATCTTAATCTCCCAGACCGCCCAGCAAGAGGGAGGTCCAGCAGGGTTTGCAGGCTGGGTCTTTCCAGACCAAAGAGCTTCTCCGCACGCAGGCTGCAACTGTGCAGGAAGCGAGATGGTTCAAAGGGCTTGAAGGGGCTGGGAAAGCCTCAGGGAATGAGCAAGAAGGGGCTGCAACCACTGGCAGGAAGTGTTTCTACTCCCCAGGGAACTCTGCTTTTAAATGCTGCCAAGACCCTGGCTGCTTCTTCAGGGCCAGGAAGGATCTGGCTGGGTTCAGTCCTCATGCTGAGCTAGAGAGCCCCCGTATTTCAAGGGGCCAAGGAACAGCAGACTCAAGGATTGAGGGCTGAGAACCAGCAACCCGAACAGAGCACGGGGCCAGGCCCTGCCCTGCGCAAACATCAGCCCGTCGAGGGCTCCTGAGCCCAGGAGCTCAGCAAGGGCCACGGGGAAGGCGGCTCCCTCCACCCCGAGAGGCCTCACCTCCAAACACGGGTTTGTTGTCGGGAGTGCTGGGCACGCTGAAGGCGAACGGCGAGCTCTGGTTCTGCGCCCCCAGCGCGCTCTGCGGCAGGGAGGAGCCGAAAGGC